CCCTAAACCCTACCTCAAACCCTAATGTCTGTCCATCTCCACGACTACAGGCGCCAGCGCCGCCTACGGTCAACTCACTTGAGCCTGGGCTGAGATGCCTACATTAGACTATCATCATAATAAGGAGCCCCTCCAAAACCCTAGATTCTGATTATTACGGCCCCTAAACCCCAAGCCCTAAACCCTGAACCCTGAACCCTGAACCCTAAACCCTAAACCCTAAACCCTAAACCCTAGACCCGGAACCCTAAGCCCTAAGCTCTAAACCCTAAACCCTGAACCCTAAACCCTAAGCCCTAAACCCTGAACCCTAAACCCTACAGTATGGTTGGCTTGAGGCCCGGCATCTGCCAGTCCCAGTGCGCGGATATCTCAACTCTGGGCTTGAGCCCAGAAACAAGCCCTGACGCTCCAAATAGCCCAGAGGAGGGGCGTTAGACCCTAAAGTGGGACTATTTATAGACTTTAGACACCAAAGAGGGACTATTATAGACGTTAGACCCCAAAGTAGGTACGTTTTTTAGACTTTAGACCCCAAAGTAAGTACTTATTATAGACTTTAGACCCCAAAGTAGGTACCATTTGTGTCCTTGGAGCCCAGGACCTGAACTAGGGTCAGCAGGGCTGGCGCAGGGTTAAGGTGGGCTTTCAGGGGGGGCCGGGACTTTTTTTTTTGCAGGATCTCTTCTGTAGCTGAGGTCTTACAGCAGGGCTTCCTGAAAGATTTTTTGGCACGTTTAGAGACGTTTGCATGAGAGCTTTCCACCGCAAGGGACCCCTCCAACTATGCATGAGATCGGCCCGACAGCTTCACTCTACCTCATGCGTCCTGAATCCTTGCATCTTATGAGTCAGAGTTCTCTACCTATTTGGTTCTTCGATTGGCCCAGGAAACAACGCTTCCTGTGGGCCCCAGTGATCTGGACTTTCAGGAGCGGTGCCGTTTTGTTTTGTGTAGGTGGAAAGGAGGGGGAGGCTCTAATCATGTGATGGAGACTGTCTGGGTTCTGCATTCAGCAGCGGGACGATGCAAGAGCATTGGTGACTATGGCTGATTATCACGGGCACATTCGGATGCTATTTGTCGAGGCCTCAACACGCAGCTCAAGATTTACTGCCGTTGTGGCGGCCACATCATCAGACTTGTCAGTGTGAACTTCGTTAAAGCCATGGGGCCAGATCGTGAACGCTTTTCCATCGACTCAAAAGCTTGGGGTTGTTGTTAATGTAGGGGCCTAAAGAATTGCCTATACTATTTTGGGGGTTCCTCATTATAACTATAGTATAATGGGCCCCAAGCCCCTAAATAATTACCTATACTATTTTGGGGGTTCCTTATTATAATTATAGTATAATGGGCCCCAAAATCCTATTCTAATTCTTAAGGCCCCTACATTAAGGTTCCTCAAATTCAATGCTCGAGACTTACGCTCCAAAGCCCAAGCTGCAAACTCCAGGAGTCCTCGTCTTAGCCCCAGGCAAGTCCAAGCCTGCCAGGAGTCGCTGGTCTGCTCTTTCTCGGCCGTGGTGGACGCGACCCGGACTCTGTCATGCCAGAAAGGTAGAGATGGGCTCAAGTGCAATATAGGGGGCTTAATAATTAGAATGGGGTTTTGGGGACCATGATGCTACAACTATAAAAACGAACCCCCAAAAATAGTATTGGTAATTATTTAGGCCCCTACATCACTTCCGTTGTTCGAAGGTGTTGGGTCAAGGGCCAGGATTTCAGATCAGTTCGATGCAATGATGGACAGTCTTCGAGGTGTGTATGGCATGGTCAACAGGGAGGAAACCGTACCAGGCTCCGTCGCAAGGTATCTCCTACAGAAGTCTGACCTTAAGAACTCTGGCATGACGCTGGCATCTGCTTACCCAGCTGCAGAAGAGGGCAAGGCTGCTTTAGAGAAGATGTTACCTTATCCCCATTGGTAGATGCACCTGCTGACCATTAGCGCCGAAATGTCGCGTCCGATGGGCCAGTGTAAGAGTTGAACCCAAATCTTCGAAGCAAGGAAATGCTCCAGTTCAAGTACGGCTGCGGCATAGCGCCTTGGCACACGAGCGACAGCCTCACACCCTAAGCCCTAGGCCATGGCCCAACTCGGATCCGTGACAACTTTGCCGGTTTCCGCTGGTTTTTTTCTTCTCGTCGCTGTCTTGCTTGCCCGAGCCAGAACAGGCAATACCCCCTAAACCCTCAACCCGAAACCCTAAGCCCTAAACCCCAAACCCACATCATGCCCGCTTCAGCAAGTGAGCTCTGCCCCACCCGCACAATGCCGTACCCGCACAATGCCGTACAAGACTTCGATCCTGCCACGGCGGGTGCTTTCCGAAATCATTGGGACTGGCCGAACCCTAGACTCTAAACCCTAAACCCAAACCCCTAAACAATAAACCCTGAACATCCCAGACCGAGTTGAGCCCTAAGCCAAAACTCTAGGACATGGTGGACTACCGGGCCAAGCTGAGAGTTCTTTGCGATGCGAGTGCGCTTTGCTCCATGCCGCGGCTGGTGGACGCTGCCAACTCGCAGAAAGACTTCTTCGCCTTGGACGCCAGCAACTGCCAGGTGAGCCCGTTCTGGCTTTTCGGAGATTGGGGCTTAGTGGTTTTGCCTTTGACTTCCTTTCCCAGGGTTTTGCTTTTAAGGTCTAGGCTATGGGACGTGGGGCTTAGGGTTCGGAGTTTCTGGGAAATCAGGGTTCTTATCCGGTTTAGGGTTCGGGATGGCAAGGCCCTTAGACTGTCTGGTGTTTCGTAGGGAATGGGGGAATGGATCCCTATGATAGTCCCTTAATTATAGTAGTCCCTATAACCCCTTCCCCCATTCCCTACTAAGCACCAGAGAGTAGAAGTAGGAAGGAGCTAGAGCGTAGCTCAACATGGAGCTTCTTGATTTTTTTTGTCGTTGGCGCTGGATTTCCACCTTTCATCGAGGCAGTAGCTTGTCTCGTTACGGTGGATGAGTAACGCAGAACCCTGACCCAAAGTCAGGATCGCGGGCAGTTGCAACGCTAAAGCCGAGAGCGCGAAACCCCCCCACAAGTCACAAGTCCTGAACTCCCGAACCTGCAAGTGGGTAGTTCTCTAAATTAGGGTCCCTGTTTTTAGGTCCCCAATATAGTACGGCACCCTTATAAAATAGACCCTAAAAGGAACCCTAGTTTAGAGAACTACCGAAGTGAGGTACAGCTGCGGCTGACATACCAGGAGCTCTCGTCCTTCGGCGCCCTCTGCGAGAGGCTTCGGATGCTTCCGGGCACCGCCAGCGCCGTGGTGGTCATCTCCACGCGGGGCGGCTGCTTTGCGTGCTTTGCAGATTTGCGGTACCTATAGTTCGAAGTATGAGATTAGGAAGTCTCTCCTACCATAGTGAAAAAAGGGCTATACAGGCATATTGGTGCAAATGATTAAGCTCAAGACGAACCCGCCAGTGGTAGCTTCTCATTATGTAACTACGGTGTCCGCGACCCGTCTCTGGTTTCCCGACATCCATCCCCTCACTAATCCTCGTGCTTAGGGATTCAAGCTTTGGATTTTCGGGATTTGGGGAAGGGTTCAGCCTCGTGGGCGGTAGAAAGCCCGAGCTGCCAGCAATCTCAAAAGACTAAGGCTCTAATGCAAGTTCTCTTTACTAGACCTCTATTCAATGCAGTACAGTCCCTTTTGGACCCCAGTACAACCCAGGAAGCCACATTAAACCAGCGAAAGTGTGACGTTGTTGTCACTCTCAGCTCGCCGACAAACCAGGCTGTGCCGTCCTAAACCCTAAACCCTAAACCCTAAACCCTAAACCCTAAACCTAAAACCTAAACCCTAAACCCTAAACCCAAACCAGGCTATGCCGTCCGGGCATTGGCTGCCTTTCGGCCCTCCTGTGACCTTCGCCACGCTGTGGGCCGATGCGGCTCGGGCTCGGGTACCCGTGCTTTAGAGCACTTTGCTGAGGAGGAGAGTCGAAGAGCGGGCTTTTTTTTTTTTTTTAGGGTTTGGGGTTTGGGCCTGCGGAGTGGGTTGGTTCTGCTGTGGTGGTGTAGGGCGTAGCCGCCTTCATTTTGGTAGGGTACTGTACCTAGCTTTAAGCAGAAAGTTGGTATTCCCCCAAACTTCCTCGACCCTAAACCCCTAGACCCTAAGCCCGAAACCCCTAAACCCCTAAACCCTTTAAGCCTAAACCTGGTGCAACGGTATTTTGACTTTCCGGGCTTCGAACCTAAAGTTTCTACTCTGTTCACGTGGAACCCTACAGGCACTAAACGGCTTAGGGTTTGGGGTTTGGGGTTTAGGGTTTAGGGTTTAGGGTTTAGGGTTCAGGGTTTAGGGTTCAGGGTTTCGGGTTTAAGGTTTAGGGCTTAGAACTGAAGCCTCCCTTCTATCCCACGCTTGCTCTCCCGAGGTACGGATAGCCGTCGTGAGTGGCGAAGATCAGGGCAGCATCGCCGTAGTGCTGCACCTGCTGGGAGGTTCATGGGTAGTTATAGGGTTCCTTTAAGAGGGTCTATAAGGGTTCTAGAAGGGCACGACTTGGAGGTTCATGGGTTATAAATAGGGATGACTATAGCTATAGCCGATACCCGGGCACTCATAAATTCGTTTATAACTACCCATGAACCTCCAAGTGGGGCCTTGCATCGAGAGGACGAACAGTTCAGGGTTCAGGGTTGCCAAATGGTCCTGCTGTTCTCGGAGATACCAATGTTCCAACTTTCTAAGTCCACTGCATATGATTCAACCCTCAAAATCCTCAACCCTAAATCCTAATTAAACCGCAAACTGTCGCATTCAGAATAAGGGTACTTATAAGAGTGCCGTACTATATTGGGGACGAAAAAAGGGACCCTAATTTAGAGAACTACCCATATGAAGGATTTGCAACTCACGATTTTGGGTTTCAGGCCTCGAGTTCATCGTGTCTTCGCTTGTCTTTCACCCTTGTCCGGGCAGCGCGAATCTCAAAACGTGCTTGAAGGTCTTGGCTAATTACTCATGACCTAACTGCACATTATATGTGCACTTGGAACCCAGCTATAGCCTAGGAAAATAGAGTGACGCCCAGGATCACCCCTCTTAAGTTGGAAGGGAAAGAACGTCTCAGCCGCAGGCATACTGATCCAGGTAGCCAGGAACCTGCCACACGATTTTGCGCTAAAGGGTCCAAGTACCTAATACTGCATGATGCATGTACTCCACCAAACACCCTAAACCCAAACCGAAAACCCTAAACCGTATCCCTACTACCCAGACCCATGTGCTGCATTGTTGTGTACATTGGAACGTCAGGGGTTAAGTCGTCGTGTACTCGCCTGCTGCGCAGCCCGTCAACCGAAGGGCCCTGTAGTACAAAGCCCATACGGACGGTATCAGACAAGCACACCGACGACCCATGCATGCACCACAAGATATGCGAAGCCCTGCACGAAGGGCGGCCGTCATCACCATCACCATCATAATCATCACCCGTCCATATATTAAAGCCCGTGATATCAAGAAAGGTTACTTTAGTTCTGCTTCAGGCGAGGCCCCACCGAGCTTAAGTTTGATGCAAGGGGCTCCGGCTCCCGAAGCGGGGCCGTTGACGCAGCTCATTCGCTGTCAGAGCTGCTGATTCCGAGGTTTTCGGCTTCTTCTCAGGAGGCGGCGGGCCAGGCGGGAGACGAGGCAGCTTCTTCCCCCAAGGGTCCAAGTTCCCAAATAGTAGGGTCTCAAGGTCCAAAAACCATTCAGACTATGGATTTTTGGGACCTAAAATCTTACTATTTGGGTACTCGGACCCTCCGGTTTCTGAGGCGGCGAGCCAGGCGGGGTATGAGGCGACGGCCAATCCGGAGTCTCTGGCTGTGGCATACCCCCTTTTTCCGGATCACAAGGCCGTAGTGCCTGAGATTTGCATAAGCTGCACCCTTCACCATCTGCGGCAACAACATCACTGTCGGCAGTTAACCATCTTCGGCAACGCGAACATCATCCTCATCATCAACCACGTCGTTGACAAGCCATCATCATCACTGCTGTCCGCAAGAGAAGAGGCACGGTAAGCAAGCCCTAAAACCCTAAACCCTAAACCCTAAACCCTAAACCCTAAAAACCTAAACCCCAAAACCCTAAACCCTAAACCCTAAAACCCTAAAACCCTAAACCCGACCAAATCCCCAAGAAGCCCTTCGAACTCTGGCCTCTCAAACCCCTGAGAGGCCAGGCAAGAAGAATCAAGCCCCAAAACTCCGTTGGGGTTGAGGGTTTGGGGTTTAGGGTTTAGGGTTTACGGCTTACAGGGTTTAGGGTCTAGGGTTTAGGGTTCAGGGTTTAGCCTTTAGGGTTTAGGGTGTAGGGGTACAGCAGCTGGCAAATTCGTCATCTCAGCTCGGGGATGGGGCCAAGCAAAGTTGCAAAGGCGGGTGTGGAGCTTCGAAATGCTCGGACATCCGGAAACATAATAGACCCTAAACCCTAAACCCTAAACCCTAAACCCAAACCCCTATAGACCCTAAAACCAATAAGCCCTAAACCCCAGACCTTTAACCGTAGAGACGTAGGGAGATGACGTCATCAGAAGCCCTGTGGGGCTTTAGCGATTTGGGGTTTAGGGATCAGGGTTTAGGGCTCAGGGTTTAGGGTTCAGGGTTTAGGGTGGGTAGATGTGGAAATTGCGGTCCCCATTTCGAAAGCCAAGAGAACACCACCTGGTACTATGGCCCCAAGTGGAACCCAGGTTTAGATTCTCATCCGTACTCTTCTTGACTACGGGGCGTGGTGCGTTTGGGGACACCATGGTGTTCTAGAGTCGGAAACCCTCAAACCCCTGACAACCTTAAAACCCTAAATAAACCCTAAACCTTAAACCCTAAACCCTCACATGTTGAAACCCTACAGTTCCTAAAGCATAAAGCATCAATGTGGTATTTCACCGAGCACTGTCAGGCACGAAGCCCTGCCGCTGCCTGATCGGTAGGAAGGCGCATCTCCTGCCGTGCGCATTTAGTGGGCAATTTAGGCTTTAACCTCTGACCCAAGTACTATAGGGTTTAGGGTTTAGGGTTTAGGGTTTAGGGTTTAGGGTTTAGCCCAAACCTTGAACACTAAACCCAGAAAGCCCCAAACCCTGAACCCTGAACTCCGAAAATCCAGACCCCTGAACCCCAAAAGAACATGAAGCCATCACTGTCCTGTGCGCCGCTCATCTGCTGCACCACGGGAGCTCCTCCGACGGGACCCTAAAACCTAAACGGCCCTGAACTCTAAAACTCTACACAGCAAGCTTACACACCCACTCAGTAACTCTACAAACCCCGAGGCCCCCTACTCATGGTCGGTCTTTGGGGCTTAGCCGCTTGACTGGCGCTCTAACACAGCGGCCGTACGACGTGGAGTAGGAGTCCTGTAAGGGCTCCTTCTCAAGGGGTCTGAATGGGGGGTTTAGGGTTTAGGGGTTTAGGGGTTTAGGGGTTTAGGGGTTTAGGGGTTTAGGGTTTAGGGTTTAGGGTTTAGGGTTTAGGGTTTAGGGGGCTATCATGTGAGAGTTTAATGCAAGAGCCCCGACAGCTAGAGAAGGGTTTTTGAGGGCGCAGTATACGGTCTTACTACAACAGAAGCAACCTCCACCAAGATGTTACGAATAATGCAGACCCGCACATTAGGCTTTGCAACAACCTCCAATCTTAGCTTGGAAGCCGCAGGCTTGGGGCTTAGGACTTCGGGAGTTTAGGGTTGGAGGTTTCAAGAGGTACCGTTTTGGAATGTAGATTGTCTGGTGCCGCATAAACCCTAAACCCTACACCCCAAACCCTAAACCCGAAACCCTACACCCTAAACCCTAAACCATAAACCTTAAACCCTGAACCCATCCTTTGCGCGAAGTCCCCGAAGCTGAAACTCCGAGCGATTGCAAACCCAAAGCCCGCAACCCTGGCAGTGTGAATGAAGTACTCCTACGGAAGAACTTACGGACAGCCCTAATATAGGGGCCTCAATAATTAGACTCGGGTTTTGTATATTACCACTATAAGGAGGAAACCCCGAAATAGTATAGGTAATTTTGAAGGTCCCTATATTCCAACGGAAGAACCTAGGGACAGCCCCATTTCACGCAGCTTTGACCCTAGCACTGGGTCTTCGACGGGCTAAATACGCAGGGAAGGGTACTTCTTCGGGCAGTTGGCAACCTATCCAAAAGCCTTAAGATACGAGCCCGGATTCGGGTTTACGGGTTTAGGGTTTGGGGTCTGGAGATTAGAGATATACCTTAAACTACCAAACCCTACTTTTTCGCAGGTTCTTATTATAAACCCGCACTTGGAATTT